ATTTTGAAGGGAAGGGAAGGTTTTCAGTTGAAATTCATCTGGTGGCACCTCCTTTTCATTGGTCACTCCCTGGCCATACATACACACAAAGAAAACTGGGCTCTGTCCTTAGCTCACCCAGTTTGGTGATGCATCACATATGGCATCTAAGATTACTACCCGTAATACGTAGGCCCAGACGGGTGAATCAAGGACAGTGGATCATTTGGAGCTCTGAAATGCTGTTGTAAGATAAAGAGATTCTTCAGGATAGTTCTAGTAGTTGCATTTATTGTTTAAATATAAAACAACAGCAGCAAAATTAAAAAAGCTAACGGCACAGTAAGTGACTTGTAATAAAGTGCAAGTTGTGACCTTAAATGACACAGACCCCTGCAGTATGGCAGTCTGTCATTTAACGTTTGTATAGGGTAGACTATGCCACAAAAATCTAATCTTGAATTGCATTCTTTTGAAATAATAACTGTTGGAATTAAGAGTTTAATTTGGTAAAGCAACATCCATAAGCCTTTAGAATAGATTTTTGAAAGTGTGGAACAGAGTCCCCACAGCGCTGGAGCCAAGTAGACTTGTAGTGTGTATAAATTAATCTGGAGCTGATCTGTCTGCGAAACTTTTAGTACTGAAACTGTAGCAGTATAATGCTTGTGCTTAACAAATACAGCTTTGTAAGGCTTGCTGTTTTTTCAGTACCCTATTCATGTTCTTAATGGGAAAAGAACAGTGCTGTTAAAGGGAAACTGCAAAGCACAAATCTATTCTGTTTGTTTTTCTTTGCTATTTTTTGTGATATATAGAGTGAGTAAGGCTTTTTTTTTCCAAGAAATCGGTGACTTTTTTTCTAGAAGACAGTATAGTTGGAAGACCTTGGTATTGTCTTCAAACCTGATATGCAGCTTCACCAGACAGAAGGAGGAGGGAATCTTTGAAGCTGCGTCATCATTTGGCCTTAAACAGAAAGAGGGAATTGTCTAAACTTGTTTCCAACATAGTTCTAGCGCTATAGCTAGAGCCAGAGCGTTAGGACTGCAAGGCCATTTAACAGGTCCGCTCTGTTTGGACGTGTGGCTTCAGAACAAAGATTTAAATGTTGTCCTTTGGGTTGTCGAAGCCTGTGATTGAAGACATCCTAACTAATTAAAAAAAAAAAAAAAAGTGTAGTGACATTTGTTACTGAATTGCTGAACTGGTTGTTTTGATACCTAATTTCTGCATAGGCCATAGCTGAGACGGTCTGAGTGCCAAAGGAAGCATGCCCTCCTTACTTCGTATTTCTCAAACATGCCACCTAACGCTTCCAAACAGACTTGAAAAGTCTTTGTAAATGTGGCATATAACAGAAGAACATTTTAGACTTTCAGCTACGCTTTTGACTTTCAATATCTCTGATTTGGTATCTAATTCTAGCCAAGGACAGAAAACACAAAATCTAGCTGTGCAAAACTAGGCTTTATTTTGTATTTTTTGAGTGCATTAGAGGTAATAGAACTATAGGGAGACCTTGCAGGTAATATGCACCTAGAGATCAGGCAGGAGAAAAGGGAGGGGGGGAACAAAGGCAAAACCATCAAGATAATTTATAAGCGAGAGCTCTGAAATGCAAATGCAGCGGTGATAATAGAATTTATTCTCCTGTTTTTATTGTAAGCTTATTACATTATTTTCTGTTAGAATAGCTATCCATGTTTTGGGGCTAGTGGATGCAGCAGAAGTATTTCTAGGATTCTCTGTTAGGTTAAAGTGCAAGAAAAATCAGAATTGTGTGTTGCTGGTTTTTTGTTTTTTTTTTTTTTAATGTATACAAACATTTTTTTAAAACGCATACAAACTCGTTTCAAATTTGAATCTTTTACTTGATACAGTCAAGTATTTAGAGGCTTTGTTGGGGAGATGCTGTGCACTACGTGATCATTTTCCTTAATTTCTCCACTGTAGTAATTATGGTTTTGTTAGACAGTAAATGATTCAGTGTTCTCATTCCATGGGGGGAAGGGGAGCAAGGATGTTGAAAGAGGAGCATTGTCTGAGCGTAGCAGGATTAGCTGGTGTTACCACCTTGCACTGGTTGAGCACCACTGTTAGAAAAGATCATCAACTCTTAATTGCTAAAAAGCAGCCTGGCGTCACAGGGCGGTGAGACTCCTGACGTTTCAGGCTTCTATGTTGTATGATTTGAATATAGGTGTAACATCTAGGCTGATCAGTTGTGATTTGCTGGACTTCCTTCTGCCCCATGTAAGCCCACACCACCCTGTTTTGTTTTTTATCATTGCTGAGTTTGTCCTTTCTCTTACCCTCTCAGTAGTTGGAAAATGCAAATTGGATTTATATTATGAGAATCAATTCTAACTTTCTCTTAAGAAAGGCGAATCATATAAAAGGATATTCTGGTAAGCCTTTTTTGCATTTTTCTAGGCAATCCTGTTTCTCAAATATACACTTGTTTAATCATGAACAGGTAGGGCCTCTTGGATTTTATGATGGAGGTGTCTGCAGTGAGGATTGTAGTCCAAGCACTGTAAGTGAGGAAAGAAATCTTGGTCCTTGATTGAACTTGACCGTTTCTGCAAGCCACGTGTCTAGATTTATTTACCATTCTGACTCCACAGAAGAGCATCTCTTATGTATTTGCAGGATCTGCTGTGTCGTGTGAAGCAGAGTGTTTTTTTTTTTTTTAATTGTCTTTTGAAGAAACTGGTACAAGAGAGAAGAGATTAAATGTATCTGTAAGTGGAGGCTGAAAGAGGGGAACAGTATTGTGATATATAGTGAGAGGAGGGACTAATGAAGCAGTGCATCAAACAACATGTAATGGGAAAGGTGTTCTTTCCAGCATAGGTAAAGCGCTACCTACCACGGCCATTTTACTGCTGGAGGACCTGTTCTGTGAGGCTGCCTGGAGCTAGTCCGTCGAGTGCTGGGCAAATGAGCAGAAAAGTTCTGAGCTGCGGCTGAAGAGCCTGTGCAGGAGGAAGTTTCTCTTGCGTTGGGATGAGAATGATGCAGTTAACCTTTGTAATGGTGAAGGTGGTAGCAGAATTTTGCGTTGGTTGGGATGGAAAAAAACTAAGTGGAAGTGTAGCCCAGTAAGGAAAATGGAAGTATATGGGGCTGATGAACACACTTATGGTGGTTGAAGGGGGCTGTATTTACACTTTGACCTGTTTTTAACGAACCAGTTATCTCTGGAAGTTGAAGACATCCCTGCTCCTGAGCTGGTTGTTGCCATCACTGTAACAGGGATGTCAGCAAAGAATGAGTGCGTGTACCTGAGCTGCATCGGCCTTCAGCTTAGTTCAAAAGCATGCTTGTCTTTTTTAAGAAGAGATGCCGGACTTCACATGAAAGCAGGGCTGGTAATGTTATAAACTTGTTGTAGCAAGTTTTGCTAGAACTCTTCTGTCAAATACCTTAGCAGATGGTCTGTGGTTGTAATTATAAAGGGCCTGGAACCACTGCTCTTTAGAGTGAGCAGGTAAACAGGCCTTGGTGAATTGGGGAAAGTCAGTGTTGGGGGGGAGAGGATGACTTCTGAGAAACTGGGAAAGATCACAGTATACAGGAGTCTTAGGACTGGTTGTGGTGAGAGGATCTTGTCTGAAAAGAAGCTAGAGCTTTGCTTTCTTCTAGACAAGAATGCCCTTTCCTTTTCAGGGCCTCAGCATGTGGAGGCATAACCATGGCTAGCTCAGGATATAGATAAATGTAGAATGCAACTGAACAGTAACAGTTGTAGCTGGGAGAGGGCCAAAAGAATGCCTCAGCGTTAAGTGTTGTTGTTTGTAACTTCTTTCCCAGGAATGAGCAAACACTAGCACCATTTTGAAGCTAAACTGTTGGCTCTCGTTTGCTTTGCAAATGCTTTCTTTGTAGTGCTGTGTCTCCCATCTGTGCAGAGATGGGATGTGGTTATTAGGGTGCTGGGTTTTTTAGCGATCTGGAAGAATTTTGCACAACATATGTCACAAAGCATTGAATTTATGGAAGCAGGGTTGATAATTTACCAGGTTTATGTAGTAGGAGGGAATGGTTCTTGAGATTGCAGACCTATTGTCTTGGTTCTCTTCCTGTTGCTGTAATTTATGATATTCTGTGAGGAAATCCGCATTTACATTCAGATCTAGCCATTTCCATTTCCTGTCGATTGGTAGAAAAGAGATAGGGAGAAAGAAAAGTTTCTCTGTCTGTGTATCTTTTGGTTTCTGTCTCAGTAAACGGATACCAAATCTGGACTATGTAGGACTAGAGGGAAGAGGTTTTACACAATAAATTCATTCCTATTGTGCAGCATATTAAAAGGACATTTGCTTCCAAGACTTGTGATGTCAATTTAGGCATAACTCTTATGGTTGTAGTAATTGGATCATAATTTTATTGAGATGACTTTACACCTGTCACCCATGCCTTACGCACATGCTTTTTGCTAACGGTCTTAGTCCTCATGTCTGGCTGGAGTTCCCATTTCAGCTAACTGTATTCTACCTTCTAACTTGTGCTGGTGGCTATGCTTGAGTAAATAACTTTATTGTTTTTCTTTTTTTTCCCCCCTAAACTTTTTGTATGCTATCAAATGTTACATGCCCCTTCATGCTGAAATGAGGCCAAAATGCTACTGGGACTCTTTGAGCAGTGTTTCAGAAAGCTGTAAAATTGCTCCAGTGCCTTCCTCTTCTCTCTCCAGCCGAAAGCATCTGTTTCCAACAGCGGAAGATAGCTTTATGCGTTTGTTGATAGGGTAACATTAAGAATGAGTTGAATTTTAAAAGAACAATGAAAGTATTACAGGAGCTTATTTTGGACAGGCAGACACTTGTGTTCTACAGAAGTGAGCAAAATGTCTCAGACTTCTTTGTTCCAGCTGTGTTTTAGGTATGGAAGTGCGTTCTGCAGAGATGGTCTTGATAGGTGAATGAGTTTTTCCTCTGGTTGTTCCTGGTATTCTGAAGAGTAAGTAACTTTTTCATTCTCTACTGGCTAGCTTCACTTCATTAGGGCTAGTCTAAAAGTAAATGTTACAGTTTCTGATCTTGTAAGGCAGGTGGTCCAGACTGACAACCTATTTGTCAAAATAGTGATTGATTTTTACAGAGTCTATTTGGAAATTCAGCAATGGGAAGACGCAGGCTGCAGGGAAGCTCCAGAATTTTTCACCCTTATTTCTTTCTGTTGCTTGGCTTTTACTAAGTTGGAATTTTCCTGCTGTTGTCAAATAGCATTAGAATTTATTTTTTTTACTGGTTCGTTAGTTCATTTCGGTTTGCTCAGAAAATCCAGTTTTTGAGCAATAATATAAGTGATCTGGACCACGTCGGAACTAAGGCTGCAAATGGTGTTTTGGCCTGAGTTACCTTATTTTTCAGTGATGTTTTCCCATAACTTCAGATTTCCAACTATGAATCCAAACTGCAGGGCTTGCATTCCTGTGAGGAAGGTTATGTTCTGTTTTTTGGGATATTAGTATGGAACAAGTGATTAGAAGGAATACTTTGCTTCCCAGTTCATAATGTGGAGTGTGATGCTACTAGTACTTAAGTTGAAAATGCTAGTATTCACAGAATCACAGAATCGTTTAGGTTGGATGGGACCTCTGGAGATCATCTAGTCCAACCTCCCTGTTCAAGCAGGGTCACCTAGAGCATATTGCCCAGGATCACATCCAGGAATTCACATCCTAGTATTCCTTAGTAAAGTACTGGTATTCCTTAATAATTCCAACAATTTTCTGTGGTGGATGTTTCATTATATATAGTTTGCAACCACCAATGTCAAGAGTCCAATTAAATCTTGCAGAGAAATTAATCACAAAATAACAAGCTACAAACAAATCTGTGGGTTGGCTTATAAGGAGAAAACCCTTCCCTTTTCTGTGCAGGTTGGTTTTTCCTGAAGTGGCAGTCACCCTGGTCTATTTGCTACCCAAATGAAAGTGTGGGGAACAAAAATTGCCTTTGCAGTTATTTTTGCAGAGAGAAATCTCAGAAAAGCTTGTGGCTATAGTAGCTTACCCAGTTGGTTTGAACAAAACGCTATCCTTCTAGTGTATGCTTTGTGTAGCTCTTTTTTGAAGGGGTAGTTTTCTTACACTGGCAGCATACCTTTCTTATGAGCCGGATTAACTTAACCGAGCTATATATTGCAATCAAGCATTGAAATTAGTGCTTTGGCTGGCATTTCAGTGCTTCATGGACATTCTAGTTTTCTGTTGCTGGATTTGTTTAGACTTGCAGGGGCCTGACTCAAACAGTAAAAGAGGAGTGAGGTAAAATTTTGTGCGCAAATGCATGCTCTCTCCTAAGCAGCGTAAGTATCCCTTTCAGCTTTGAGACTTTTAGTCAAGGAGTTCTAAATGATTCAGAGACTTGATTATCCAGTGTAAAGGAAGTGATTCCTTCCTTTTCCAAACATTTGATACTGCAAAACCACCTTTATAACCAAAATGGCCAGTGAGTTGGAATGTTAGCAGGGATGCTGGGCTACGTTGGGAGGCTGAGAGCCTAAACTCTTCATCACCTTTCTGATGTGACCCTCTAGATCAGGCTGAAAGCTTCTGGTAAAGAGATGCCGTACAGTAACGAACAGAACGATGAGCTGGGCTGTTCAATATCTAATATGCTGTTGCCTCATAATAATCAGGCTCCTGACAAAGAAAGCATGCCATATATGATCACTAGTTTCTTCTATAATACAAATATGGTCTCAATTTTAGCAGGTGTCAGTACTACTGAATAATTCTGTTTTCTTATTGCTACATATTTGATCACTTCCAGTCTTTTGACCCCAAGAGGGATGGTGTTACAAGTGCAGGTCACGCTATGAAAAGGTTTGAAATGCTGCAGGGCTTTTTGTTTTAATCCCTTCAAGGTTTCAGTCTTTCTTGTGGTTCAGATGTAATGTGAGAAATTAAAACAAGACAGCAGGCAGATGGTACATCTCTGAGGTCAGACAGACTAGTTTAAAAAAAAAAAAGTGTTTATTTTTTACTTTATTCTAAAAAAGTTTATTCATTAGTTTATTCTAAACTAATGTTTATTCTCCTCTAGAGTTTTTGCATCTGTGGAACTCAAACATCTATCTTCTGAGTGATTCTCTTAGTTGGCAATCAGTGGAATTACATCTATTAACAAGTTTTAAAAAACACCCCACCTTGCCCCCGTACGCTTACTTTCACTGAATATCAAGGCAGGCATGATTAAAAGTCTGATTTTTCTGGATCACAGGGTGTGCTTGCTGGGCGATAGTCTAGAAGTTGTCTCTGTCTGTCCTTGTCTGGTCAGCTCAGTTTTCTGCAGTGCTCTAAACAGTGTTTCCCTCCTGCAGTGGGCCTACTTTATTTGCCAAATGCTGTTATCAGTTTGATTAGTTTAAGACTCTGAATTTGCTCCTTCCTGTGCCTTGTTCTTTGGGAATTATTCTATTTTGCTAGCATAGTTGGCTTTGAGGTTATGGAATATTTTCATGCGCTCTGAGTTTCCCTTTTTAGGTTTTCATTGCTCTGATATTCCATTTAGATAGCTATGCTGATTCAAATTACTGCGTTTAAATGGTGTAGAGTGCATATCTATAATCCCAAGGGACGTTACAGAAATTCTGTGATTTGGAGACTTTGAACTCATAAGGTACTTGCATATATTTGGTCTCATGTTTTCTTCTCCATGTGTGTTGATATGTTCAGGTTAAACTTTCTTGCCACTGAAAAGAAAACCAAACAAACCCCCAACTAAAAAGTGAGGGCAGTAATCTGACTTTTCTTTTGTTGGTTTTAGGGGACATCACACAGAAGGGGTATGAGAAGAAGAGAGCAAAGCTGCTGGCTCCGTATGTCCCACAAACCCAAGGTAGGAACTGGTTTCAATTAGAATAATAATTTTGCATAACTTTGACATTAAAGGGAACCTGTGAAATGTCTGTGGAGTGGTGGAGCATTGATATTTCATTTGCTAACTTTAAGGCATTCTGTTTTGATACGTATTTTCTTAGCTATCTTAATAGTTGTATTGTGGTGGTTGCATGGATGCCATGAAGTCATGGGCAGTAGAGCATTTTGCGTCTGGTTTGCTGGATCATGCTGAATTCCAGGGATTGCTGAAAATTCCAGAACTGGTTGGTGGGTCTCGACGGAGCCTATGTATTTCAACGCTACTTATGCTGTCTTTATCTCTCGCATACCCAAATCACTTCCTACTTCCTTGTCAGCTGACATGTCAAAGGCTTTGAATCGATCATGAAGTGTGAGGCCCTCAAGAATTATGCTTAAACTTCGTCAAAATGGCTTAACTACAAAGTTGGTCTGTACTCTTAATATCTTCTTTGAGAAACGTTAGCATTTGCATAATTTGTTAGCTTATTTTACCTGACTGTGAATTCATTTGCTTTGCTTACATCTGCTTCTTTTGGTTCAAAGATCCTTAGCAGTAGGGCTTGACTCCATGTAGGTTAATTATATAAAACTGTAAACTGTAGGATGAGAGTGAAAGCATGTCCAATAATTAATATGCGGATGCTTACCCCAAATAATCGCAGTACTGATGCGCTGAGATGTTTAACCATTAAAAGCTAATGGGCCTGGCTTTTGCAATTTGGGAGGTGAATGATTATGACAGGCAGTCATGACAACTTACTGTAATTTACTGCGACTGAACAACCACAAAAAAAAAAGGCTAAAGTTTATTGATTGACCATCAGCACTTTCTCTTGGGGGAAAAGATCATGTACTTCTTTCTGCCGAAATTGCAGCAGTTCACTTCAGGCAATTGCTTGAGGAACATAAAAGAATTCTGCCACTGTCATGTGGTAGCTTCTGGGCTCTGCCACTCCGAAACACTCAATGTTTGCATTTTTGGTCTTCTCCATCCCAGCTGTTTCTCAACTTTGTTTTGTTTGTATATTCAACAAATGCTGAGCCTTTTTGTCTGCTGAAGCCTTCTGCAAGATTCTTATTGCCACAGTAGGTGCTTTATGCACGAAAGAAGAGTGTATTCTGCCTAGGCTAACGTACTGAAGGTAGCAGTGCAAGCAGAAATTGTATTTTAGCCTTCAGCTTTGAGATTTTCTTAAACAGCATTGACGACTGGAAACCGCCTCCCTGAACCAGTGATGCGATAGGAATCTCTGAAGACTGGGTTGTTTCCTTTGTATCAAATCTGTTGTTTAAAGAAACCAAAGCTAACACCTATGGCTAATCTCTCATAGTCTTTATAGGTAGATATTCGTTAAGCAGGTCTTACAGTCTCTCAGTTCAATGTGCATATCAGTGGTGAACTTGAGCCTTAGGAGGAAACGTGGACCAAGCCTTTCATATGTGCAGCTGCCTGCTTGGCAGCTTTGCTTTTGTTGTGGAGTCCAGTGGAGGCTAAAGCTCTGCAAGTTGCTTTTCATTTGTCAACATGATCTTGTGCCCCTCATGCCTGTCACTTTGCACGCATGTTTGGTTTGTTTCAGAAAATGTTGTTTAATTAGGAGGAAAAAATGTTTGGCAAGACCATCTGTGGCCCTGCTACTTTAATTGTCATGCTTTTCAAGGCTGCAGAATGAGCTGAAGTTTAGGAGGAAACTAGAGGCCAGTAGCAGGTCACCAATTAAGATGGCATTTTGACTGCCGTTCAGACTCGGCCCTCCAGCTTTTTATGTATCCTGTATTCAGCTGTCCCCATACTGGGGAATCTCCAATTGTAAAAATCCTGTTGAAGTCATGCATGAGGGATTAAGAATTAGGTCACCTTTTTAATGAGCAGAAAACCAACAGGAAAATATTTACTCTTGGCATTTAGTGCATTATATTTCTCAGAGTGCCATCCTAATGTTAGCTAATGTATTGTCTCCATTTCATAGATGTGAAATGAGACAAAGGAAGGTATGATGACATGTCAGAGCAAGTCAGGATTATAATTCAGGAGATTCTTATTGCGAAATCTGTACTCCATTCACATTGCCTCTGGGAGCTTGCCTCGTTATTTTAGAGGTAAAGCAACAATGTTAATTACCTAAAGATACATCTTTTCCTGGTGCAACATCCATTTTTGTAAATGGAACTTACTGAAGTGATGGCGCTACGATACCAGAGTTGTTGTTCCTCTGTTATGTGCTGGCTGCTGCACAAAAAGATTTTGAAGAAAGTATTTTGAGAAGCTTCCCAGGTTGTGCATATTAACTAATGCTGCTTGCTTCACTGTTGCCTGGACCAAAGCATGCTTGTCTCATGTTGGGCTACTGACTAACCACTTACAAAAGGAGGAGAGGGGGGCACCCTACTGTCATGTCATCGTTAGTATCTTTCTGAATGTGTAACTCTAGCTGAATCGTGAGCTTCAGAAACGAACAGAGGGTCTAGATGCTTTGAAATGCTGCTTTTGTTAGAGTAAATCTGACATTATCGAGTTGTCCTCAGTCAGTTGTTAGTGGGGACCAAATACTTTTTATGCCTGTCTTAAAAGGTGTAGTGCGGTGGTATTAAAACTGAGAGAGTTGAGTGGCCATGTTTTTGCTGTGTGAGCTCTGAGGAGAAACGTTCACTGAAATGTCCTGAGCCACTGGTGGGCCTGGTTCGGTCTGATTCATACTTTCTCTTTGTAGAAACTTGCTGTATGCTTGAATTCTTTCCATTTTATTAGCATAATGGTAAGCCATCAGGTAAAAGATGGACTATGGAAGTGTATTTGAAACGAAATTTACAAAGCAATCTTTGCATATAGCAAGGTTAAAACAGAGGTATTTTAGGCTAGGTATGGTGAAAATTTTCCTGAGTGCGAGAAAGCATGTAATGATTTGAATATAGGAGGAGCTCAGCTTACGTTCGTATTGATGTAATATTGAACTTAGGACTTGGTAAATATCTTGATACTTTTGTTTTGAATAGGTTCAAGGCTGATGCGCTTTGAGATGTGTACAGAGCATGAGAAAATCTAGCTATATAGATAAAAATATGCCTCATTGAGAAGCCAATTGTTTGAAGAGCTGGGAAACTGGAAACTTTCAAACCAGTGTTGAAATTATTACATTACGCTCTTAAATATATCATTTCAAGTCAAATTGGTTACATGATATAATGGATTTTTTTGAAAAGTAATTTCATCAGCTACAGTGTTTTGGATAGATAGATGCACTGTTTTGGAACTAAGAGGTGATATAGTAACTAGCCACTTCTTGAAACTGGTTTTTGCTGCAGATTACAGGTAAACAGAGTCTGCCTGAAGAAATAACTGCTGTCCATGTTATGTTGCTGCAAATCTGGAAAAGCATTTACAGCTTTTTAGCTCAAACAATGCAGATGTAGGAACACCTTGTGCCAAAATTAACAGCCTTTGCACACAGACTCTTGGCAGAGTACATCTTCTTGCTATTTACAATAGTGCATGGGGTTTCTCCGCTGATGCGTAAAGGAAATCATTCACCAAGCCCTGATTCATCAGAACCTCCTTTTGTTGCTGCTAGAGTTCTGTGCTTTTGCTCTTGTCTTTTATTCTCATGGTGATTTAAAATAAATATTTAGAGTAAGCACATTTGGAAAGAGAACAGTAGAGTACGTACTTTATTGAAAAGGTAAGATGAATGTCATCTAGGGTTTTTTGTATTCCTGTTCATCAGGGAAAGATGTTGGAATGAAAGAGTACTGCAATTGTAATCTGATGGAAATTGATGGTAACATTTCAAGCTAATTTAGTTCGGAGAACTTATCTGAGTGCTGATTTGATAATGCATGTTTTATGGTTTTTCTGCTTCATGTTGTTCATGGATATTGCAAGATGGGAATATTACAAATTCTGTTATTTTACTGCATAATTCCTTTGAAATCATGACACTTTGGAAATGAAGTATTTCTTCTTCACTTCCTGAGTGGGCTGTCATTTATTTCCTGTCTCAAAAAAATATAGTCCTTCTGCCATCCTGGGCTACCAGTAAATTCAATTGGCAAAACTTCTCTAAAGTTTTACTAGTTTGTTTTATTTGTCTGTCAGGATTTAATTATTTCAAATGGGAGCTAAGGAGGAACAGTAACTAGTGATAAAATGGCCTTGTCTAAACCTGTAAATCATGTACACGCGCTCCAGCTTACAGTGTTGTTTAGAGTATTTCACTCATTTACAAGCTCTGACTTGCAGCTACCACAAATGGGGAATTATTTTCTTCCTTATTAAGTCTAAGGGGTATCACCCTTGCAAATGAAGCTTAGCACTTGACTCTAGGAAATCATTTTCTCCATCTTTGAAATCCTTTCCAGGACTAAATCAGTGGAACCACCTGAATTCTCCCTAAATGTCTTCCATAGGGCAGAACTGAGATCCATCCAGCTAATAGCGCCTGCAAAAGTCTTTGAAATCTTGCATGTCTAGTGAGTTCTCGGCCTTCTCAACACTGGAAGATGGCAATAAGCACGCTAAACCTTACCCAGACACGCCTGCTACTGAGAGAGGCTGGCCCCTACGTTCTAGAAGAGCCGTTCAGACTAACTTGCAAAACTTAGTTACTTGCATTTTATTTTTAATGATTTTTACAGACACGTACCTTGAAAAACCATGTCATTGTAAGGAGTAGCCAGTGCAACATGAACACTTCTATTCAATTCTGTATGCAAAGCAGCAGAAAAACAGGTTTGCCTGCTGCTTTTCTTCTGCAAGATGAATCTAACATTTTGTCCTTGTAATTAATGTAAGCATTTGTTTGTTGATCATGCATGATGCTTGTATAGATTCTTTTGATCTAAAAAATCTTTATATTAAAAAAAAAATCAAATCTCTCCCTTCATCAAACTGCAGGGATCACAAAGCAATAAATTCTGTTTAAAAAACTAATGGCAATTAAAAATCCATAGCTTCCTATAGCAGCAATTGTAAAAATTATTTATTTTTCTAGTCTCTGTAGATTCAGATCCTGTCAGCAGAAACCGCAGCTACAGCAGGATTATTCCAAGGAGAATGCTAAATAAAGTCACCTAGCACCTGCCAGGCTTAGCTCACTTGAGTTGCTTTGTTGTATAACCATTTATGATTTACTGTCGTTATATGCTTTTCCCGATCTGTGCTTGTATGCTTTGTTAGGCTACTGTAACATATTATTATGTCATAACAAAATATTTAAACAAAGAGCTTACTCTTAGCATGTCATGTCACGTACAGATATGTTCGATTCCTTTGTAAACAAAATGTCATGCTTACCTTGTGATGCTCTGTAGAACAGAGGTGCTTTTGCTTTTGCAAGACTTATGAGAAAGAACTGAATATGAATTTAATAATTCATTTAAAATTGTTAAAACTGCTGCTGACATCTAGTGGGTACTTGGAGTCATAAATAGCTGAATGTTCAGAAATCATTAAGCTTTTCTTATCAGTCTGTGAAGTTGTCTTGCCTTTGGATCGAAATAGAACTCTCTAGTTTATGACAAAGACAGATGTAGTCTGGTCTGGAGTGAAAAATGCAGTTCTCCACTCTTTTTGTGTCCTAGATGAGTTTACTTTGGCATCCAAGGAAGATACTTGATTGCATTTGGGTAGCGTAGTCTGGTCTTAAGTAAATTTAGTATGCTTGATGCTATGCAAAGCATAGGGAGTCTGTTCCTAACAAATTATGGTTTAGGATCAGGATATATAAAATAATGGGGATACTGCCAGTTTTAGAACTCTTTTTTTTTTTTTTTAAATCATTCTACTTGTATCAAATCTTCACGTGTGATGTTATAAAGATACTAAACTACACAGCTGTTATAGTTATCAATCAAATTTGCTCCAGAATCTCAGAAGGGGATTACACACTTATTCTTTTGGATGTGGGTAAATAGAGATTTGGAATTAAAAAAATCTTACTCCTCAGTCCAGGTTCTCTGATTACCGGGTCACGTGCCTAAACCACACAAGCCTCCCTTCTACTTTCTTAGCTTATTTGTTGTGCCGCTGGCATTTTTGTGCAGATGATGGTTATGTTTGGACAATGGAAAACAAAACTCTGCCTTATGATATTTTACTCCCCCTGCCTCCAAAATGGCAGTGGAAACAGGAAACAGTTGCTGGTCTGTTCTCTTCTCTTGATTTGAGAATTTCTGACTAGCAGATATGCTCTTTTTTATTAGAAATAAAAGTTTTAATTTTTTTGCTTGGTAGTTTAAAGAGCTGTTAATATATAAGCCCAGTAGCTTGCCTCCATTGAATGTTGCTATGGTAAACTGGCCTAGTCAAAGTTTGAGTAAGTTGTTAAAAGTTTTGAAAAGGTTCACAGACCAAATAGTAACGTTAGGGGTTAGAAAAGAACTTCCAGGAGCAGGCTGTCCCCATATTGTTGAAATTTTCTCTGAAAGATATAATGCTGGTAACAAAATGTTGGGCTAAATATATATAGCTAATTTGCTATGACATTCAATTAATACTCTGTTCTTTAGGATGTTGGAAGTCATAAGGGATGTTTGAAGATTTCTACAGCTAGTTAGATGTGATTTGCTGGTACTGTAGGCTCTCTGAGCTTGAGGCACTTGCCCTAAGTTGTTTACCTAAAACCACACACTAAGAAAGTAGTATGACTGGAATTGAAATCCAGAGTTTGTGGTTTCCTCTTAATTTCTCTAATCCTTTGGTAGTTCGTGAGAATTTAAGAGGTGCATTTTTAGATGACACAATTGCCCTTTTTGCATGATTTCAGGTGACAGCCCGAAGGTAATTACAGCTATGTGACCTTTGGTTTTAGTTTTTAAAAAGTTTCCACTGAAGCACAGATTCGCTTTAGAATTGCAATTCCAGGAGCAGCCATCCCTAATGATATATGCCTTGGTGAATTATGTAAGATGATAATTTCTTATCAGATTATCTATGTAGCTCCCTGTATTCATGGGAAGAGCAAACCTTTTCAGGATGGTAATGCCTTGACACATGCTGGAAGTAGCCAGAACCTGGAGAACTAGAGCGCACCCCCCTTCCCCCCTCCCCCTTTTTTTTCCCACAACTCAAACTAACCTTGGCTAATGATTTATTGCATCAGTTAAACGCCTTCACTTCACTGTTTGCAGCAGCAGTAACTAAGAGGAGGCTGGTATAAATGAGTAGGATCTCTAAGTGTAATATGCGTATGTCATTTGACCACACGTTAAACTCCTAATTCGGATCTGTCTTAATGCAATGGCGAGTGTATTCCCATTGGAAACTGGCAAAATAGGGAGCCAACCATACAGATACTGAATCACAACACGTAGATGTTCATTGTGGATGGCTCAAAGTGTTTGGAATGGCAGGCTTTGTCTGCTTTGTCTACTGATTTCATCTGTTAAGATTTATCTGAATCTTACCACCATTTGTATTTTGAAATGAGTTCTTTAAAAAATAATTTAATCTCCCTTCTCACTGATGGGTTACTTAAATTATATGAAAATGTGTATTGTCACCTGTTCCAGGTTTGCTGTAAATTCTCTTTTATGTGAATTGCTTAACCCATTAAAGCAGGAGAAAAAGGGGGAAGGGAACACTTAAGAATAATGTTGAGGAAGGGACGTGTATGTCCAAAGTGATTAGAGTATTATTGGACAGATGTATTAATATACTAGTTAATTTGCTTCACTACAGAAAATGTGAAATCCTGTAACTATATAGTAAAACAGAGAAGTATGCTCAGAAAAGACTATTTTTCTTTTCTGCCCTCAAAGAGTTGTGGACTGTTTTCCAGGGGTTGATCCAGCGTTACAGAAGGAATCCAGAACTCAGATGCCTGTTCCATCTGCAACTCCAGCCTCAGCATCGTCGTCATCCTCATCCAAATTTCACCGAGCTCGCTCAGGGGGAGCCAGAGATGAACGCTATCGATCTGGTAAGGGCAGGGCAAGAGTTCACCTGGGACTCTTGTTAAAGAGGAAGAGTGTGCAATGTCCTTTCAAGGAGTCAAGTTGATGATTAATCCAGTTGATGGAAAGTCCTGCCTTTATAGTTCTGTATAAAGAAACATCAGACTTGCAGGGCTGCAGCTCCAGGGGCAAAAAGTGCTAAGTAGAAAAAAGCAAATAACTCTTTGCCTTTTTGATTTTTCTAGCTTGAATGCAGCTATTCAGTGCAAGTTCTTCACACAGTCGAAAGTCTGTTTTAACCACCTCTGTAGGTAACCAGATTCAGGGAAGCGATAGGTAACAATTTTTTCCTGGAACTGATGATTTCTGTGCACATCTACTGTAGGAGCCAGAGAATGATCTGGCTTTTTAAATCTGTTTTAAGCACTTTTGAAGAGCAGCAGAAATGGCTGACTAGTGCCCTGCTGATTTCCTCCTCCACTTAAGGGAAGGAGAGGAAGAAGGCACCAGTTTATTGTTTCATTTTGGTTTTGTTCTTCATTTTGCATTAACAAGTTTAAATATTTCTCTCCGTGGGAGCAAGTAAAATATATCAAATATACCTGCTCCAATGACACTGCTATCATATGAACATTTTTCATAAAGCATTAGATGAGCTTAGTTTTCTGGAAGGACCTCAGAAAAACATGTGAATCTGATTTCATCATGTAATTAGCTTTCCCACTTATCCATAGTGGTTGATTAATATGTTGTCTTGTTATCAGCTGTGATGTGTCTCCTCCATTAAAGAGTTCTTCATATTTGCTGGGGGAAGGAAGCCTCCCCTCCTAGCCTGTTTCACTTACTGATCAGTATGTATTTACAACTGCAGTTAGTAACCTTCAAGATTGATGTAAAATCTGTATCTATTCAGGATTTTGAACATCAGTTTTTTCCGAAGTCAGACCTCACTGGCTCAGAATTTGTCAGTCTGTAGACTAGACTTGTACCAGGGCTTATGTGCTCTGTTTATGTGCATATGCACATAAACAGAATTAAAACGCACAAGCTTTTTTTTTTTAAAAAGATAATCCTTCATGAAGACAGACAGTCTGGGGCTGAGACCACTTATAAAAATTGTGAGAGCGACAAGAATATAATGACTAATCGAGAAGATTTCAGGTTAAAAACCTGGGCTCTGCTATCAGTTTGCTAACTTTAGAAACCTCAGTTAGTTTCCCTATTAGAAAAAATGGAAATATTACTCATGAGGTAGCAAAACATAGTTTTTTGGGTAAGTACTGTAAAATGAGGGGTGTTTCATAAATGTAGAATGCTAGCAATTGTTGCAGTAATCTTGCATCTTTAAGTCTTATGTGTGTTGGTTTTTTTTCTACTGTTGCAAAGTGAGGTATACTGACTTCCGTTTTGCAGATATCCACACAGAAGCAGTTCAAGCAGCACTGGCAAAACACAAAGAACAGAAGATGGCTCTGCCCATGCCAACAAAAAGACGGTCTACATTTGTTCAGTCTCCAGCTGATGCCTGCACTCCCCCAGGTTAGGTTCCTACAGTGTGCTTGTCTGTGTGGATGTTAAGGTACGCGTTACTAAGTTTCCTAATCAAGGGGCTGCAATTGTCAAAATATTCAGAATCTTCTGCACATATGTAGGTAGTCTGTAATTCCTGTAGCTGTCTTGCTACGTTTGAGCAGCTGCTTGTTTTCATGGAGCTGCTGTTACGGCTGTGGAAATGAATCCTCTTCTGGGAGCTCTTAAAAAATGCATTGGCAAGAACTGAGCAGGCCTTCTGGACTGATACTTCTTCTTTTGCTTCCCTCACACCTATTTCAGTTACGTAATTCATGTTTCCTTTCTGGTAAGGTTGGTGTGCAGCATACAGGAAAAGGTATCAGTTCTCCAGAGTTCAAGGATTTGCAGTGACGTATGTTTCTGGGCAAGGACCATGGAGGGGGTCCTGTGGGAGTCCATGACTCTTGTAAGACTTCTAATTCCTAACACCTCTCGTGTCATAGCTGTTTTGCCTCAGTGGCAAAGCAGCTGAGATAATGTGGTGTCTGTTATGATGCATATTCATCAGATATTAATAAAAATTTCCATTTTCAATCAGCTGTGCACAAAGGTTGAAGATGAATATTATAATTTTCAACAGTGACTTTTACGTTGGCTCTCATTGTTTGGGAGCATCATGGTCATTTGGATTGAGGAAGTTATCAGAAGAGATTAAAAACCCTCCTCCTCATCATGAATTCATCATACGTCTGTATGAAACCTCTCTGTTAGGCTGCTGCATGTGTGACTCTCCTTTTATTCTGTTTTTTATTCATTCTTCCTGCTATCTTTTCCTTCCTGCTGGGGTCTCGTGCCTGTTCCCAGTGTCCGCTTGGGCCTTGGTTTTGTACTAACGTGTCCAGGACTAAGCACGTTCTGAGCTGTGGGTGCTACACAAATAAAGGTTAGCATTAAAACTTCCAGTTCAACTTGCGGTATGACTGGAATTAGTCCCTTCTTCCAAGTGATGACTGTACTCTGCTTTGGCAAGTAGGTAGAACATGATTTAATAGTTTGATTTTTATGATTTAAGGGACGCTATTGAAGAACAGAATATAGGCAGCCAGTCACTTTTAAGAATACTTAAATTTTAGGCCAAAGTCTAATTGAATGTTTTAAGTTGTACAGTGCTACATATAGATATCAAATAATGAGTACTTTCTTCATGATAAAGAAATAATTAGTTCACAGCTTTAGGACAGAGAAGATATCTGTTCTCTTGCAAATGCAAGATGCAGTTCCTTGTTGTGTTTTTTTCTTTTTTTTCCTTTTTGTTTTCTGGAATGAAAGGGACCCATTTAGAAAAGCATACAAAAGCATTTTCTACATGTGACCTTGGCATATTTATTTCCCAGTGCCTGCATTCTACTTTGTTTCTGTAAATTTTCAGTTTTGAGAATGCTACTGACTCCTCACTTTCCATTTCAGAAATATCAGTATTAGGCAATATAGTGTCTGATTTTTATAGAATATGAGTGAAACAGTAATGAGTGAAAAGTCAATAAACTAAGGCAGGATATTTGTCTAATGTGTTGAATCTTTTGTGGGCTTTAAACAGAGGAAAAACCTAGGAGTAAATATATTCCTATTGGAGGTGTTTGCTGCTTTAACTTGTGTTTTGGCCTACGTAACCATATTTTTTCACGGTCTGAAAAGAGATTTTCATATTACAAGCCCTTGCCGTTGATATGTGAATTGCGAAGAGAGCATGTTCAGTGCAATGTGCTTTTCCATAAGGAGCTAGACTTTCTTTTCTGCTTCCACACAGACACGTCTTCTGCATCCGAGGATGAGGGGTCACTAAGGCGCCAAGCTGCTCTTTCTGCTGCATTGCATCAGAGCTTACAGAATGCTGAGTCTTGGATCAACCGATCTATTCAGGGGTCATCCACATCTTCATCAGCATCTTCTACTCTATCCCATGGAGAAGGCAAAGGGACCAGTGGGTCACTAGCTGATGTATTTGCCAATACTCGAATAGGTAGGAGCTGGGTATGAACAGAAAAACTGCCTCAAGTTCAGATTGTATCAATAAAGCTGGAGTTGTCCATTGTGTAAGGGAAATTTGGAATGAGAGTTTAGTTAGTGATGGTGGAACTTGCTTGGATTCGTTGGAGTTACACCACCACTGGTGTGGGATTTTTGATTTTGTTTTTTCCTCCCTTAAGAATTTACGAATATTGAGTTGGTTTGAAAAAGGGGACATGGGGAGCAGGAGTTTGCTGGAATAGAAAAGGCTCATTGGGGTGATTACAGTATTGACAGATTCGGTAGGCAGAACTTTTTCTGTATACAGTATTGCTTATGTCTACAGCTACTTGAAGCTACTGTGTGCACAAAGCTACCATATGCAAGTAGCATTTGGCATCTGTGTCCTGATAAATATCACAGGGGTGTCTTTGCCCATTCAATGGGGGAAAAGCTGTGTTCCAACATTATCTTTTAGCTATAAGCCCTAATGGTTTATTGTTTTAGTGTTTTTTTTAAAAAAAAAAAAAAACAAAAAACAAAAACAAACCCAGTCAAATATATGAATAACTGAGCATATCATTTAGGAAGTGAACATTGCAGAGACTAAAGATTTAACACTGATCTTTCATGACTAGTCTGGGAAATAATCAGGGCATCCAGGTATTGAGAAGAGGGAGCAAAAAACTACAGATCTGGATACCCCAGGCTCAGTTTTTTGATGCTCTGAGGTGCTCCTTGCTGCTGATGCTTCTGTATGAAATTGCAAATTTTGTTTTGCTCTGTGTATGTTTGTCTTTTTTATCCACTGTTAAGGGTATTACTGCATCTTAGGAGATGTCTGTATTTGTGTGCTCTCTGCTTTTGCTTAACTGGTTTGGGGCAAGCAGTACATAGAAGCACTGGTGTTTTTAATTGCTTCACTTAATTTTTTTGTTTGTTTGTTTCTTTGCTGAGATGCAAGTTGTTTTCTGAAATGGAAAACGGGAAATTGTCCATAAAACATAGTCAGTATAATTAATGTATCTCTTAATTGGAGAATACAGAAAGCCGCAGTACTTGTTGTAATGAATTAAGGTAATCTAGCTGCTTACCTACAGAATAACTGCTATCTGATTAGTATCTTATGCAAAATAGAACTGTTAAAGTTTTATCACAATTATATTTTGCATGTAGATATTTATCCTACATTAACACCTAATTTACATGATAGGAACTAACTCTAACATATGCAATTTTATGCATCTCTTTGGAGAGAGCAATAGAAAGTCCTGCAAATATTGTATAAAATCTATGTCCTTCCTAGTGTGCTTAGAAGTTCTATACATGAGAAATATTCCTTGTCACTGTATCTCCAGAAGGTATTCAGAAATGGAATTTTTCCCTCTAGACAGAAGGAATCAAAGAACAAACCACACAAACCTTTCTTTGGGAGTTGTTCAGTATTTGACTTTGTTCGAGACTTTCTCTATGCAAGCCAACATGTAGTTTCAAAGTTTTGGGGCTTTTTTTCTTCAGAAGAAACAGTTGCTGCCTCTGTTAAGCTGGCATAGAATATCTTGCCCTGTCAGATGATTGAACCTACTACCTTGTATAAAGAAATCCTGTGCAAGCAGAAATTGCTTACTTAAGATGAGGCTAATGAGAGAATTACTGAAGTATGCAGCGTTACTTACAGTTTTGAAGCATTACAAACTCATCTGAAAAGCAGGACTTCTTGCAGGACAGTGTCTTGCAACTTGAGGCTGTCAGAGCTGACAGGTTTAAGAACTGTCTCATTTTTATAGGTTAGATTTTATTTAACTGCTGGACAGGCTCTTACTGTTTAGCCACTGAACTGAACGAAATTTCAACCCGATGTGAATCTTTTCTTGTCTGTTTAAGCAATAGCCTCCTGTTTGTTTAATTTTAGAAAGCTCTTTCTGAGGAAAAGGTTAAATACTGTAATTTCAGCAAGAGAGATTACTGCATAGGTGATGTAGGTTTTTTGTTCTGAGATTTTTGAATATTCCAGAGCTTATTTTGATCCCAACTGGCATTTTTTTTTTAAGAGAACTGAATGCCAAGAGATTTAGCTTTATTTGAAGGTCAAAGACCAAAAATAGGAATTCTGTGAGTATTTTGCTGAATTACTTTCCTGAATTACTTTCCTGACATGGACAAAGCCACTCATCTGTGCCCTCATTTTCTGTTTTCCAAAATGGATAATGTGCACCTCCTAAGGTCACTTAATATTTAGTAAGTGGTTTGTGTGGCATTGATAAGAGCCCCCATAAGAATTCAACCCATTAAATTGTTAAGACTGTTGGTAATGGGTAACAAACACTTCACTTGTGCTAATGAAAGGTATATGTTAATCACCATCTCAATTTTCTCCCTTTTTTTAGAAAATTTCTCAGTTCCCCCAGATGTCACAGCAACTACCTCCTCTTCCTCAGCACGCCCAGCAGCGATTGATCTTCCTCCTTCAGGGATCGTGAAAGGCATGCACAAGGGATCTAATCGGTCTAGTCTCATGGATACTGCTGATGGTATGGAATTTTTCAGCGTACCCAGAAATTAGAGTGGTGTCTAAGGAAGGACTTGACTTGGAGGTTCAAATCCTGTGACTTAAATCTAGCCTATTTAAGCACTTCACAAATTGGAAATGGTTATGGCATTAGCATTAACACTTTCCCGTGCTACAGAAATTACCTGCTATGAACTGAATTGCAGAAAATCATGGAGAGGTAATAGGCTTTTCTCTGAGTACTGCCTTTTTTTTTTTTTTTTTTAAAAGGAAAAATTAAAAATGCATAGGTAGGCTAATTGTTTTTAAAAGCTTTTGTCCTGGAATTCCCAAAAGGAAAGGTAAGATGAATGAAAATGTGTGATTCTTAACTATAGTAAGCTCCCGTGAAGCTGATAATACTGACTCTATGCTGTTTGGCATAAACCTTTGTGCAGAAGGGTAGCATTAATACTTCTAGTTCTACTGCGTCCTCCCTGTGCTGGCAGTCTTGCACTACAGTGGATCAGTATTTCAAGCAGACGCAGATCTGTAGGCCATGTTTTACATCAAGTGCAGTTTGTCAAAGACAGATGGAAGTTAGGCTTTGGAATGGAGGAAATACTTTAAAAATGACTTTACGTTACTAGCTTTTTCTGACCACTGAGTTAATACAGAACTGATACAATACCTACTAATGTCAGCCTGCATTGGCACAACCTTTAGCGATGGAAACCATTAGTTGAATGAGTGGGCGCGCCAGGAGAAGTGTCCTCTAGCGGAAGGAGGTAAGACATAAATGTCAATAGAGATGGTGAGCTCTTTTATTGGCCAAACTCTTTCCCTCCAGGTGTTCCTGTGAGTAGTAGAGTCTCCACGAAAATTCAGCAGTTGCTTAACACCTTGAAAAGACCTAAAAGGCCACCCCTGAAAGAATTTTTTGTGGATGATTTTGAAGAAATTGTGGAAGGTAATAGCACTAAGTATTATTTTATTAATTATTTGCTATAAGCACACAGACTTGCACAGTGCTGTACTTAGTTATGCCATTGTTTCTGAAGTTGACTCAGATGGATTCCCTATTTGCAGCTAGTGATAGCATTCATGAATAGTCTGTGGCCAGCAACCACTGGTACAAAAACAGCGTTTGAAGCAATTCACTGTACTGCAGAGCTTTGTGTGGCCTCTTCAACACTAAACTACTTAAAATAACTAAAACTTAATAACAGAAATATTTAAATAGTTTTTTTTTAAAATGTTCATTTTCTTAGGCAACTTCAATTAAATTCCCAAGGGGGATTGTGTTTACCAGTAGTTTCAATACAATCTTATTTAATAAGATTCTTTTCTCCAATTCTGTGTTACCCTCCTTGATACTATATTGAAATCGGTAGCACATTAGGTGAAGACGATGTTCAGGGTAATGTTTTGTTTTCTGCAGAGCTCCGCAGAGAACAAAGTGCGGTAGAGATTGTTAAACATACAGGCTATTTGGAAAAGCACTTTTTTCAGTGTATTTTTTCAGCCTAACTGTCTGGGAATAAATGAGCTAAGATGAACTGGGAACATTATCAAATTTTCTTCAGTTCCACAGCCTGACCCAAATCAACCTAAGCCAGAAGGACGCCAGATGACACCTGTGAAAGGAGAGCCACTGGGAGTTGTTTGTAACTGGCCTCCTGCCTTAGAAGCAGCACTGCAGCGCTGGGGAACCACGCAGGCTAAATGCCCCTGTCTGACAGCACTGGATGTTACAGGAAAACCAGTTTATACCCTCACATATGGTGAGCTGAGCACAGGCTTCTGTTAAACTATTCTGAAAGGGCAGTAGAGGATAGAACTTAGTTGTTGTACAGGACTTTTCTGAATGTGGTGGCAAATACGTTCCTGGTTTGAGAGAGGTTAGTAGATGAAGCGGTGTAACTGAAACAGGAGGTGACAGTAGATGGATAAAGCAGTCAGGAATTGAAATGTTAATCTCTTGTATGTTGGGTGATTTAGAGTTGTGCAAGTCTCTCCTCTTTGTGTTCTAGGCAAACTGTGGAGCAGAAGTCTCAAGCTGGCCTACACACTGCTTAATAAACTGGGGACCAAAAATGAACCCGTGTTAAAACCTGGAGATAGGGTAATGAGTTTTAGACTATCTGTTTCTCCCTCTGAAGTTTAAAAAAGGGGGAGGGGGAGGGGCTATAACTTACCAAAGACACTAAAATCTTCTTCTCTTGATAGTGAGACTCCTATCCCAGAGACAGGCTACTTGGGAAAGATATCTTTGTGATTTTTTTCAATCTGCTGATTCCTCTGTAAGCAACTTCTTGGCTCTGGACTTTGAGATACATCTAAGGAAGAGCATAGCAGCTCTGAGAAATACAGAGTTTTTAGATCTCTGTGTTGGGGGAGGAGGGGTGCGTGTGTGTGTGTATACATGTATGCACAGAATACTGACATAGTAGCACATGAAGAATGTGTGCATATACCAGATCTGTGTGAGGAGGAGTGCTTGAAGATGCCCTGTGAAAAACGCTCAGGCAGCGTTGTAAAATTATGTGAGGTTTTCTGACTTGTAGTCGCTACAATCTGAACTTCGCAATTTCTCCTTGTATTTCGCCTAACAAAACTTTTTTGTGAATTGTAGGTAGCCCTTGTTTATCCCAACAATGATCCAGTCATGTTTATGGTGGCGTTTTACGGCTGTCTTCTAGCAGAAGTCATACCAGTGCCTATAGAGGTACCTCTTACCAGAAAGGTAACGTTGATGGAACTTAGAGGAGTGATAGGCTGATGTGGGATGAAACCCAGGTCAGACCATCAACCTCTGATAGTGTTTAGCAGCATCCAGCTGCTGCCTCAGTGATTCTGCATCAACGCAATGTGCAAGACCTATATGAACGTGGAATAGGAGTTCAAAAATGGAAAAAAAAAAATATTGACTAGATAGCCCTGCTGAGCAGCTGGAAATGATTGATTCACCTGAATGCTATAGTCTTGTCTCTGTTATTGCAAATGGTTTATAAGAGTACAGATAACACTGTGAATCTGCCCTCTGATCCATGTGAAGGGGATCTCATTTCCAACAGTGCTAAGCATCTGCTGGTCATTTGACTTTGCTGGAGACTGAAGGTACAAAGCGCTTTTGAAAACTGCCAGGCACCACCTCTTGTAAATCCTCTGCTCAAAGAAGTATTTTCTTTACCCTTACCATAATTTTTATGATTTTGCCATATTATTGCCATTTCAAGAGCTGACTATAGCCCTAAAATTTCTTAAGAGGAAACAAAGTAACAGTAGAAAGGCAAATATATGGCAAGAGAGGTGGTAATGAAATGGTAAAATAAGTCTGGTAATGTTATGGGAGTCACAGAGCTTTGGGGTGAGAAGCGTTTTTTTTTTTTTTTTTTTTCCCCCCCCCCCCCATTTGTCCTCAATGTGACAACTGCTATAGCAACCAAATATAAAATTTAAAGCTTCTCCCATTTTTTGTCTGATCAGTTTTCTTAGTAAGCTACCTCATTTCAGTGTTTTTAGCATTGTGCAATAGAAATTAGTTACTGAGGAAAAATGGGCCTTGTTATTTCAGTGTAATTATACGTTTTCTCTTTTTATGCCTCATAATTCCTCTCTGAAGCATCTGTGCTTCCATTAATGAAAATAAATGGTATATACTCAATGCCTGAATGCTGGGCACGCATCTAAGCGAGCACTTGCTTTCTGTGAATTTCACATCCAGTTCCTTTTAGTCTTGTCAGTGTAATATTTTTGGGGGGTATGAAGGGATCCCTTTGAGAATCACCAGATTTCTCTGCAATCTGTTCTCAGTCATATAATCTTTTCATTTTTGAACTTCAAAATGAATTGAAAAGAGCAGACATGGTATGCAGAAGATTAAGTAGCCATTTTGTTTTTTTGTAACGGCGAATCATTTTCTTGTGAACTTTTATTGGCTCATAGTATGTCTCCATTTTCACCCAGCATGCCTTTGTATTGGCTATGACATCTTCCAAAATGTATTACTCTCTAAGCTTAGAAATTGTTGTATTCATCCCTGCCAGACAGTGGTTGTCATTTGAGTTTCAAACCAATGCCTGGCACTGAGGGTGGGAGGAAAAGGGCAAACCAAAGGAAACAGTGTTTGGGGGGAAGAGGAGGTGTTTTTGTGTTTTTGTTTTCCCTGCTGTGATCCATAATGTTACCATACAGTTACCAGACCATTACCAAACCTTAGAATATGGTAAGGGGAAAGTTGGCTGTCATCTTGAAACAGAAATGATTTTTTTTCCACCCCTTCC